GGGGGAGTTTCTCCCAGTTGGGGGAGGGGGAAGACAGTCATCTTAGAATTGCGTACAAGGAAATCTCACTAAATATACTGTCTGTCATTTAACTGCTGCCAAAAGCAGCATGTGCTTAGCGATGGACACTTACCAAGTTGATTACATGCAGTTAACACTGAGCATAACTATAACACACATGGACCGCATTATTGATGGGAATCTTTTTCTTTTTGTGGCAGGAATCCTAGTCTTGTTTACCAATAGCCAAAAGGCTGATGCATATTAGTGTCTATTAATTACAGCCCCCTCACTGCTTGTTCTTTTTTTAAGCCCTTGAGAGCCATGACATTGTTCTGTTACAGGAAGTTATTTTTCTGCCTTGTTCAGAACTGTTGAAGCCTCTGGAGTAATCTGTCCAGTTTTGGTCACAACACTTTAAGGAAGTGTGACAAATTGAAAGGAATGTAGAAGAGAGAAACAAAAGTTTATTAGATGTCGGAAAACTAGGCAAGCTGCTGTGTGACAACCTTTCTGTAAGTTCTTAAATGTCTGCAGCATTGTAGCCTAATAAAGGTATCTCGACTGGGTAGGTGTTTGGTAAACTAGGAAATACTTATGAGTCAAATCACACTTATGCTACAAGGAAAGGAAATGGGCCAACACCCCTTTCTTTCCTTATGGCACAGGCAACAAATGTGATTTGGCTCGTAAGTATTTCATAGTATACCAAACACCTACCCAGTCGAGATACCTTTATAAAGCTGCAGACATTTAAGAACCTCAGAATTTATTACACTAGGTCAGACTCAAGATGTATCTAGACCAACATCCTGTCCTCCACACAAGTGTAGCGAGATCCATCCTATCATACTTTCCCAGTCACGAGTAGGTTACATCAATAACTTGGGTGTAATAGTCCCTTGTGTACTTTATCATCCATAAATGTTTAATCCCTTTTTAAATCCAGTTATGCTACTGGCTTTCACAGAATCCTGTGGCACAATGTTCCATGTGTTAATGATGTTGTGTAAAACGTCCTTTATTTTTAAATCTGTTGTCTCATGATTTAATTAAGTGCCCTAGTTCTTATGTTAAGGGGTAGGAAATAACACCTCCCAACTTTTTCTACAGCATTTGTCTTTGATAGACCCCTTATTTATAGAATAATAGAAAGAAGGACCAGAAGGGCCCTCTAAAATCATCAAGTCCAGTTCCGTGCCATGGGCAAGAGAGACAATGGTCTCAAACGAGCTCAACGAGGTTCTCATCCAGCCTCCTCTTGAACATGGCTAGGGATGGCAACTGCACCACATCTGCTGGATGCGTGTTCCAGATTTTGGTTAGCCGTACGGGACGTAAGTTTAGGCTAGACGTATGGAAAAAAACTTTTCCTTGACTAACTTGTGCCTATTATACTCCCTCAGCCATCTCCTTATCCAAGCTGAAGAGACCTAGCCTTTTCAATCTCATAGTATGGAAATTGTTCCATACCCTGCTGCGCCCCGCCCCGCCCCCCCCCCAATTTGTCCTTTTACTATTTTTTTTTCTAGTTTTACTTTATGTACTTAATATGCCATAAGTGTTTGCAGGATATGGCCTAAGTATGCTAAAATTGAGTGTCATACCCTGCTTAAGATTTGAGCATGTATTACTGACATGCTTTTCTGGGTAAATGGACTGCTGGTCCTGTAGACAACTTAGTCTAATATTGTCCTTAACAGCTGTTAACAGAAAATATAAGCTTTTGTGGATCACAGGACCACTAAATCTTGTTAGTTTAGCTTATTAAATATCATATGAATGATGTTTTAAAGTGTCATTAAAATAATGTTTGCGGGAAAGTTGAGTTGAAGGTACTAGATTAAGGAGACTATAGTTCTGTTCCTGTTTTCTTTGCTTTTCTTTCTGTTGTAACTCAGCAAAACCATTTATCACTCTGTTTACTTGGGTTTTTTTGTAAATGGGATATTTCAGTCTTAGTACCTGTGTAAGATGGTTAAAGTGAGGTTCATGGATAAAGCCCACTATTGATGTACAGGGTAGTATTCATGCAGAACACTATTGCATCTGAAGAGGGAGTAATCTGATCATATTTTAGAGAAAAGAAAGTGTACACACAGGGTAAGCACATTAGATCCAAAAGTCAGTTACCCCAGCCAACTCTGTATTTAATACTACCAGTGAGGTTTTTTTTCTAAAGTCCTAGTTTAGAAGATGAATGCTTGCATTTGTATTGATTTGCTATATAAATATTGTTTCGCTAGTAAAAAATATGGATGCCAAAGAGAGGGTTGCTTTGATACAGAGGAAATTACTGCTAATTTAATTTGAGGTGATCTGAACATGAGCTGAAAGCAGTTCATAGTGTTAATTTTTCTTTTAGTTTTTCTCACCACTGAATCCCATCAGAGTTCACATTGATATTGGAGCAGATGGAAGAGCAACAGGAGAAGCAGATGTGGAATTTGTAACACATGAAGATGCAGTGGCTGCCATGTCTAAAGATAAAAATCACATGCGTAAGTTTTCTTGAGAGTTGCTTGTTTGGAGGTATCCAGACAGTAAAAAATGGAAGCTAGCAGCCAGCTTGGCTCCCTTGAGTTTGAGAGTATGGAGAAACAGCTTGAGGGGCTGTTAATGTAGTTGGATTCCCCCTAACTTGAGGTTTAGTGGAGGGAGCTCTTCAGAATCTGAAGATGTAGTGTCTAAAATCTGTCCAGACATGCAAGCTTGGATTTGATTCTCCAGCCTCATTTGTTTTGTTTGGTGGCTTGATCTAGTATGCTTATGAAAGATGCCATACTGAAAGCTTGAATACTTCTTAAGGAAACATGAGCAGCAGTAGTACAAGTCTACTTACACTGCCTTGCCAGTAAATCTCAGTCCAGAAGCTTTAAGTCCTAGTCCTTTAGACTGTCCAAGGTACAAATTGTGACTGTCTTCAAAATTAACATGGAGAAACAGCCTTCTAGGGATTGGTCAGATGATACCAACTCAGTCTCATAACCTTTCCCCACCCCTCCCCCCAAACTGTTTGGTAACTCTGGAGTGAATTTCAATTTTTGTCTTCTAACCTTTCAAATAAAGTCATAAGTAGCTGTTTCTTCTATTTTCTTAAAGAACATCGATACATTGAATTATTCCTGAATTCAACTGCTGGAGGTGGCTCTGGAATGGGAGGCTATGGCAGAGATGGAATGGGTAAGTATGGATTCAGATCTTACTTCACTTCTATGTTTAGGGAAATAAAGTTTCTAACGATGTATTGCTCTTATTTTTCAGATCAAGGAGGTTATGGCTCTGTTGGCAGAATGGGAATGGGTAGCAATTACAGCGGAGGGTACGGAACACCTGATGGCTTAGGTGGATATAGTAAGTAGTGGGTTTTGTTTGTTAATTGTTCTAATAATTTTACTTGTTTTATAATTATGTAGCTACATGACTCCTAACTGTTTGGATTTTATGGAGTTTTAGGGAGAATCTGCACTTCATTACAGTTATATACTTGTAATACTTTAAACTCCATTTCATCCACAGTCATAGGTTGAGAACCTTCAAATACTTTTTTTTTTCAGAGCTGTGAGTACATTACTTAATATTTGTTACCTTTTATAGGTCGTGGCAGTGGAAATAGTGGTGGATACTATGGACAAGGCAGTATGAGTAGTGGTGGATGGCGTGGAATGTATTAAAGAACAGCTTTGCTTCCGCAGAATATCCTGGAAGAAACAGTATCTGGTCTACTAGACTTTCTTACAAAATTAAATTTCTTTTGTATTTTAAGAACTTTATAATGACTGAAGGAATGTGTTTTCACACTATTATTTGGTAAGCAACAGATTGTGATGGGGAAATCTGTTTTCTGTAGGTTTTATTTGTTGCATACTCTGACTTTAAATAAATTTTTATATTCAAACCACTGATGTTGATACTTTTTATACTAGCTATTCCTAAAGATGTATTGCATATTGAAAAATAGTTGGTTTAAGATGTTGTACCATTGGTTCAATTAAAGGTGGTTGTGCTGTATCTCCTCTAAACACTGATCCAGTTTACTAAGTAAGGCATAACAATGCTGAATTGAAGGTGTGCTTGGTTTAAAGGGAAAAAGTAAAGTACAATAATTTTTAGTTAAAACCTATTTCTATGTTGGCTTCCAGGAAAAGTATATATAGATAAAATCCCACAGCAAATTAGTAAAATATGGGTATAGAGGCTAAAATTTGCAAAATGTAGCTTGACATGAAAAACAAAGATAGCTATATTTCCCCCCTCCCCGCCAATATACACATAGGCTTGTTGATTGGTATCAGTGTTCCTAGAACAGTCAAATTTATTTCCGCAGTTTTGTATTTTATTTAGTAATCTACACTAGCACAATTTCTTTTTTTATCTACCAATCAAAATATCCACATCAAAATTAACTTAAAACAGTACAATTTTATTTTAATCGTTCTGTAGGAACAAAACTCAAACAAAGGGGTTGAGGGCTAGTTAATTAAAAATCCAGTTTTATTATAACTTTATTTTACAAATACCCAAAACATTCAATAAGAAGAGTTAGAGGGATTTTTAAAACATCTAACGGTCTCATTCAATTGGGTTTTGAAAAAATGCACAGGTAGCTTTTGCAGTTGAGTAACTGACGATGATTTGTATCTTCTGAAAATTTGGCAGTTCCTCTTCTGAGGTGTAAAGCCTGTGAGGCTTACTGTGTTTTGTAAAATGATTTGCCATCCAAACACATCTCAAATGAAGGCAAGAGTTAAAGTGAATACTTGCTTAAATGACTTTTACTAAAGCCCAAACACATCTTGTTATAATGCTTTTGTACATTTATGACACAAGATGTACAGAAACATATTGTTTGAAGGCACTTTAACACATGATGTATGATGAAGAAAAAAACGGTATTACATTTCTTCCTCAGCCAGTGGGATCTTCCAAATTAATTGCTTGTCCTCAATGCCTCCCTATAACTTGTCAAATGTGATCTTGGGTATTGAAAGTTTGTCACCTGTTTTGCTAGTAATGTGTTGTTTGTATGTAATAAATGTCTTATTGTGGGAGATAACAGAATGGAGTATGTTTTGCTAGAAAGCGTTCTTGTCAGATTGGTCCGAGCTTCACAAATTAGCTGACAATGATGTGGCATTAAGACACTGTTTTAAAGAATAAATTAATTCTTCCTTGACTGCTTTCCCCTTCATCCTTCTCAAGAGGAAAAGAAAAGGCTGTTACCATCTCTTGAAAAATACTCTCTAAAGAGTTACTGGATTCTATGCTGTTAAATGTATAAATGACACTTAATGCCTTTAACCCATTACAACTAGTAGGCTACTATGAGGCATCTAAGAGTTTTCCATGCATTTAATGAACTATTCTACAGCACCGGGCTTGTTTGAGAAGCCTTAACTAATACTACAGAGGTTTCCAGGAGAGTTCAGAGTTTAGACATTTTTAAAGAAGCTGGCACCTATAATCACTTTGAGCTTTAAAACTTGTGATCAGTTATGCATGTGTGTGTGCGCATCATCACCAATAATAACTCATACGTAACATTTCTAATGTGAAACAGTCCATTTGTAATCAAGACTGTGAATGAACAGAATTCTAGCCAAATAGGCAGGAGTCAGGTAAGCAATAGTACACAGCAAATAGTATGATAGTAATCCAAAGTGAATCACTTAATGTTTTTTCACATTTGAGAGACTAGTAGAGCTTACTAAGTACCTGCATCCAGAGTAGCTGCTGAAGCTATATGTGCCCCTGACTTGTGTTTTTGTTTCTGTTCTTGAGACTGCACACACTCCTTTTAGTTGATTTCTTTATAACTTTTTCAAAGGTGAATAAAATAAGTCCTCCTTTATCACTGCAGACTTTATGGAATGAAGCAGGGTGCCTTCAACAAGATTTTGCTGTAAGAAACAGTCATGAGCAACTTAACACCTTGCAACAGTTTGCTTTTGCCTGTTTTCAGTCATAGCCATGATTCATAGATGCTAGGGTCAGAAGGGACCTCAATAGATGATCTAGTCCGACCCCCTGCATAGGCAGGAAAGAGTGCTGGGTCTAGATGACCCCAGCTAGATGCTTATCTAACCTCCTCTTGAAGACCCCCAGGGTAGGGGAGAGCACCACCTCCCTTGGGAGCCCGTTCCAGACCTTGGCCACTCTAACTGTGAAGAAGTTCTTCCTAATGTCTAGTCTATTCTAACTGTGAAGAAGTTCTTCCTAATGTCTAGTCTAATGATGGTACAAGGAGTTGGAAAGAAGCAAAGTTTGTGAGGTAAAGTAACATTTATTCAGTTGGCCCAAAAAATTATGCTGCTTTTACTTCATAAACCTAGCTTCAGTCACTTAGTCATGAATATAAGATACTGAACTAAAGTTACTATTTCAAGGTTTATAAACATGAGAAGTACTTAGTTTTCTTCACTTTTATAAAAGCCAGTCATTAGGGGCAAGACTGGAAAATACTCTCAAATCTAAGTCTTAACAGCTTCAACGTCTAGAATGTTTACACACAAAAGATATGAAATGACTTCTCAAAGCAGGTTTGGCAATAATGAGAAGGCTTTTATGAATGTTAACTGCTAGCAAGGGAAAGCAGATACAGTATTTAGTACATTCTACCGTACTACTTTCTTGGACATTTTCAATAGTGATTGCATCCCCCCGCCAAATAGTATTCAGCTCTTTTTTTTTTTTCTAGAAAAGTCTAGTTCTGGCTTGTTCTTTACTACTGAAGAGCAGTTTAAAAATGTGGCCAAAGCTAAGGTGGAAAAGGACTGAAGCAAAATTTATTTTGCTCTTCCTCTAGTAATGCAGGAATATCTACTTGTGGGTACTAATACTGGAAAAAAGGCAGTTTAAAACATTAATGCTCATTCTTTTTAGGCTTGTGCAGATATGCCTCCAAAAAATATTAGCTCTTGCGTGTTTTTTTTTTTAACTACAGAAAGAACAGCAGTTCTTTCATGGTGGAGAAGTCAGAAAATCTAACATTAAAGCATTCTGATGTTATGGATTACTACTAAAAAGCTCTATCTGTATGTTGTGAATCCTGCAGGTGTTTGCAAACCTAACAATATTGTGTTATACTCTACAACACCCTTAAAAGGATCTTACAGGACCCAGACTGAGAATTGTCCGTTTAAAATGGGTATTCAATCTCTGGCCTGCAAGGCCATGTCAGCCAGCCCCTAGGTCACCCCACAGATGCAGAAACTGGCAGCACGGGAGCAGTGTTGGTGTTAATTGGCACCCCTACTTGCCAAATTTCCAAACATGGGGATCCCTGCAGTTTGGATGACAGGACCTTGCATGCTAGAGTGCACTGTCAACCATGTGGCAGGGACAGCATGTGGGGTTGCTCAAATGCACCATATCTACTGCACAACTGGAATATGGAGCACCACTGGTTTAGAACATTTTAAAGCAGGCTGAAGGGAGCAGTCTTCCTCCAGAAGGACTATTACTACAGATACGATGATTGGTTTGGATTTTGTTTTTTTCAAGCTTACAACCATATCCGTGAGGGATACACTTAAAAGGTCATCAGGTAGAAAGATGCTTACTAGCTAGTGGTTTTCAATAGTGTTTAAGTAGTACAACACTCACAGGTACTAATAGCAGTGGATTACCTGCACTGGTAGCACAGTAGCTGATTGTGCATTCAAGCTTACAAGCAGTAAGTAAGTGGTCAGCTGTCCAGGAGATAGTGTTCTTCCTGCTCATGGCTATGCAAATTGAGGGAGACAGGACTCTGTTTCATTTTGTCAATACCCTCACTTAGGCCTGTAAGAGTTGAATTCTCAGTAAGGATACAGAGGAATATTGCAGAACCCAGTTACTATAGTACTTGCTTTTAAACTATGTTGATGTATTTAGGGCAAGGAGATCAAAACTCTCCATCAGGCTAGTGTGAAGAGAGATTTCTATCCTTTAAGAGAGCATTATCCCTGTTGTTACAGCATGATACAAAAACCCTAAAAATCAGACTAGTTAGCTTCAAGCAATACAGAAAATGGATCAAGTAGGAAATTCCATCTGCCTTTTTGGGTAAAAAATACATATATTTAAAAAAAAAAGAAAATTGAAACATTTTTCATATATTTAGTATATACAAGCAACTCTGACATGCTACATTTGTAATTATGTCTTCACAAAAATATTAAAACTTATTAGGGGTTCACCAATAAAGTTTTTCTCGGCCGATACCAATGGCCAATTATTAACCAGCCATATCAACCAATACCAGTCCAATAGCCAATTTACAGGAATGCAGCCCGGCAGCTTGGAGAGCAGCCTCCTCTCAGTAAGTCTCAGAGGGGGAGGGGCTTGGGGGCAGCAGATCAAAGGCCCCCACAGTGGAGAGAGCAAGGCAAGGGCACAGGCAGGTGCTCCCCAGTCAGGGGGGGTGGATGCATCTCCCTACCAGCGTGTGCATCCCTGGGGGAGATATGGGGGGCATATGCCCCCCCTGGATTTGTGCACAAAGTGAAGATGGGCTGCCCACTGCAGGTTCAGGGCCAGGGGCTGCGCTGGCCTCTACCCATGGTGGGGGGCTGGGCAGGAGCTGTGCTCAGAATGGGTGGGAGCAGGGTAGACTTAGCTGCACGGGGTAGGTGGCAGCAGCAGTGGCACTAGGGAGAGGTTTTGGGGGGGGCTATGGCCACCCCAAACTTCCCCTTCTCCATCCCATGCAGCTGATCCCACCCTTCCCTTGCCTGCCCTGAGCACAGCCCCAGTTCACCCCGCCAGTGGGAAGAGGCCGGCACAGCCCCCGCCCTAAGCCCTTACCCCGTGCACAAATCCAGAGGGGTACATGCCTCCCCTGAGGGTGTGCAGAGCAGTGGGGAGCTGTCCTCCCTGAATGAGCCACCTGTGGCTCCTCCCTGTGCCCTGCCCCAG